CAATAGATGTTAGCTCAGAGCCGGTCTTCCTCAGCAAAAAGAGGAGGATTAGCATGGATGTTAGCTCAGCGCTGATCTTCCTCACAAAAAAAAAAGAATGTTAAGAAGATCAATAGTTACCAAGGTGACAGATGCGTTAACTCATTTCACTATATATGTATATCAAATCATCATATTGTACACCTTAAACTTACTCAATGTTTTATGTCCATTACATCTCAAGAAAGCTGGATGAAAATTTTTAAATAACAAGTCATTGCCGTAAAAAAAAATGACCAGGGCAAGGAGGTGAAGAAAGAGGACTGAATGCAAAGGGAAATGAGGGATCTTTTGCCGTGATAAAAATGTTCCATATTTTTATTTTGGTGGTGGTTACACAATTGTACACATTTATCAAAACTTACTGAATTGCATACTTAAAATTGGTGAATTTTATTACATGTAAATTATACCTTGGTAAAGCTAATTTTTAGAATCCTTGAGAGAAGAAAGGCCAGATTATAATTTGAAAAGCCCCTACAAGGGATTTTGAAATGCATCTTCTCTCTAATCACTGATGGCTGTACCATACGTAGTATATACTCTAGAGCAGTTTCCTTTTTCCCAACCCTAGGAATCAAAGCTGACATACTCCAAAGAAGGTTATGGTTTTCCTTTTCTTTATCTACCATTACAAGAGTACTATCAAAATTGCTGTTTTGAAATTATTTAGGAATTTGTATGAAACAATGTCTTCTGAGTCCTTTACACAATCACTCAATATTAAATTTACAAGTAGTTATAAGGTTCTTGGTTGCAGCTTATGATCCAATAAACCCAAGCACAGACCTTTAAGTAGTTCCTTCAATTGGCTCTATACATCTGCACTGTTAGCAAAGCCTTTTTTTCCAAATGAAAGGACCATGCAAAGCAATCAACCTGATCTATAAGCCATGTCATGGGGACTGCTTTAGGAAAGAGTTCACAGGTTCTGTCCTTAAAAGAAGGAAAAAGCTGAAATAAGAGTTTCAAACATTATTATACATGCTTTGCCATTTAAGTTACTTTCCTTGGGACAATTTCAACTTGTCAACGTCCAAAATAAAATATGATACCCAGAACTGAACACAATATCCCAAATATAGTCTGACTTGTTCAAGGTACAAAGACTGTTACCTCTCTTGAGCTGGACACTCTGACTCAAAGTTTGATTGACTTTTTTGAGCGCTGCATCATATCCAACACGAATAACTGAAAGGTCAGATTCTCCTACCCCATAATTGTGCTATTCATTTAAAAAATGTAAATACACGGCTTCATATTTGTTCCTGTTCAATTTTGTCTTATCTGCTTTAACCTATCATTCCCGTCTCATGAAACTTTTTGAATTTCCCTGAATTTTGCCATCCAACATATAAGCAATTCCTCCCGTCTGAAAAACTCATAATTATCTTTATTAATGTTGCTGATAAAAAAAGTATTGAATAAATATGCCAACTACAGAGATACAGAGACCTTTTACATGTCACTAGAGACAGGTTTACACCTGTGAAAGAAATGCTTACATTTGTCTTGTCCAGAAGGATAATAAGAAACATGTCAAATGCCTCCCTGAAGTAAGATACACTACTGTTTATTCATTCATTCAATCAGTTACTCATTCATTCAACAAATATTTGAACACTTGCTGAGTATCAGACACTGTACACTAAGCACTAGGGATACAATGATGAGTAAGACAGACTGGTCTCCGTCCTCGTGAAGCTTACATTCTAGCTTAGAGCAAAAACATTCTCTGTCAAAACAACAAAAATAAGATTAATTTTGCTTAACTGAAGAGAATAAATTCTGTGAACCCAAGAAATAGGCTACTTTCAAAAGACTACTTTGAAAAGGGCTTTTGCCAACTGAATATCAGATAGAAATAATCTCCAACCAACCTCTAACTGAATTAATTAGGGCTTTTTTCACTTTTACATTTTTAAAAATACACAATATGTGAACTCATACCTCATATAAACATTTCAACCTAGACATGTAAAGTGAAAATGCCTCTTGACCACTCCTCCCAAATCCACTGTTATCAGTTTGGAGTGCATTCTTCCACACCTTTTTGTCAGTGCATTTTTTTTGTTTTGTGGTTTTTGTTTTTATATACATAATAATCATATTATACCCACTTTTCTGCAACTTGCTTTCTTTACTTAACAGTATGTCTTAGAGGTCATTCTATGACAGTAAATATGGGTTCTCCTCATCCTTTTTTACTATTTGCAGACTATGGACAGAGAACGTTTACCTAACTCTTCCTACTGATGAATATTTAGGTTGTTTATAACTTGTTACCATTACCAACAAGGCTACAATGAACATCCTTGCACACAGCTTGTGTACATATGCAGGCATTCTCTAAGGTAGTGTTTTTCAAACCCACTACTAAGTTGTGAAATCAACTATGTAGTGACCAGGACCTTATTAATAAAATAAAACAGAACAGAATAAAATAAAAAGAACAAGAAAGGAAATTTAAGAAGGCATTACACATTGTAAGGGTGAAAACTGTCCCATCAAACATCTGTTTCATACTACACACACATGTATGTGCGTATATGTACATATATATGTGTGTATATTACATATATCTGTGTACGTGTGTGTCTGTGCGTGTACTGGGTCATAATATAAAACACTTCTCCAGTGTGGCTTGCATCAAAAAGTGTGAAAAACAAATGCTCTATAAGGTATATTCTAAGAAGTAGCATGTTAAGGTCAAAGGAAACATGCATTTTTACTAATAAGAAGTTTTAAAAACCATTCCTGACATAAGTATACATCTGCGTCCCCTAAATGAGACATATAAAATGGCTGTATGTATAGAATTAGTTATCTAAGCTTTATTTTCCAAATATCCTTGGCAATCAGTATCAGGCTTAGGTTACCAAAAACTTCAATTGTTGCTGACTCTACCATTTCTTATGATAAATAATTTCTCTGTCAGTTAAAAAGAGGTTCATTCCAACAGTTTCATCATTTGTGCTTTATCATCTGACATACATTTAACATGCATTTATCTAGTAAATTTTAAAACTGTCTTCACTGACTAGTTTTTAAAAAATCATGCCATATCTGATATCTATTATGCCATATCTGATATCTATTATTATTTATAGTTCTGAGTGGAATATTTCAGAAATAACTTCATTTTGAAACATCTAGAAATTTAAGTATCCTTAAGAATAAAATGAGCAAGTTTTCATTGCTTTTTAAAAACAGAGTTTTAAAGATTTAGAATGGAAATTTACCATATTATCATTTTGATGGATTTTTTTTCTTAAGTAAAAATATAAATTCTTATTTAGCCATGCTACAGATCTCTCAAATACATCACTTTTCAGGAGAAGGGTTTCCTAATATCAATTCTTATTTTTCTTTATCTCTTACCTGAAAAGAAAATAAAGTATTCTCTACACTGAAAAAATGCACTGCACATAAAAATGCAATAGCTAAATATTGGCTGCCTTAACACCCAAGTCGGTTATTTATGTTTCTTGGTAAAAGCAAATGAAAAATAGTAATATACCTAGCCAGAGGGGAGCGAAATGCTGCAGCTGGTGTGGGAAAATCCATGGTCCTTGTTTCAAGAACTGGTTTTCCTGGAATAAACTTTAAACTGTTGGGATTTGGGGTATCTTGTGTTTGAATAAACATGTATCTCACTAAAAGAGAAAAAAGAAGAAAGAATGTTATTCCAGGAAAAAGAGTAGTTAACAAGTTTAGGGACTTGGAAGTACTCATTTTCAGAGAACCAAAAGAAGAAACATTAGAAAAAAGAAAAGGCTTTATTCCTCAAGGTGACAAAATAAGAATTTTTAAAGACAAGAGAGAAATTTACCAATATATTTAGGATAACTGCACTGAATTTTATATGAATATTGACTCTTTAGATAGTTTTGTTACTCAGCAGCTTCTAGCAATATCCTACACTTAAGGAGGAAGGCATAATATAATTCAGGAGTCTTATATGTATTCAATTTGGTGACTTAGTACCAATGGCTATCACAATCATAAATCATCATCACTGAGATATTAATACAGTAAAATGTTACATTCTCTTCTTTCCAAAGTGCTACCACTCTTTTAAAGACAAAAAATTTATAACAACAACTAATATTTATGGTGTGCTTACTTATTACATGCCAGAGACAGGGTCCTTTAATGTGCTATAAATGTATTTAAGCTTTAAGTGTATTTAAGCTTTTAACAACCCTATGAAGAAGATACTATTATTCCCATTTAACAGATGAAGAAATTGAGGCTTAGAGTTAAGTAACTTGCCCAGAGGTACAGAGTTAGTGACATTAAAAATTATCACATAAGTGGGAATCTATGTGAATTACTTTCTGGAATATTTTTAGATTATCTTTACAGTTTCTTCTCGGGCCATGATTATACTGAGAATGAATTCATTACAGCAATAAAGAAAGAACAGAATCTTTAATTTCCTACCTTGCTATTACGATAACAGCTTGTAGGACAAAAGGATAGTACTGGGGTTTTAACAGCTTTAAAACTATTAAAGAGGCCCTGATTATTTATTATGAAAAGAAACATTCTGACCAAAAAAAACAGTAATTCTCATCTTAGAACAGTATATTCAGACAGGTTAATTTACTGAGTAATTATCATGTGCTGGGCATGGTGCTAAGCACTCTATGTAAATTACATCATTTAGTCCTTATATCCTGCCAAGGAGGCAGTGTTTTAATCTTATTTTATGAATGAGGAAACTGAAGCTCAAAGTCACTCAGCTAGTTAAGTGATCCAGCCAGGATTCAAGCCCAGCCAATTTCCCAGCACTGACTTGCTTAACCACCGTGCATACTGCCACTCCATACTTATAAGCGCCAAGAATAACAGGAAATGTATTTAAGATCAGTCTTCCTATCTTGTCACAATCCTCATACCACATATCTTAAGAAAGATAGTAAAATATCAAAAATCAACAGTTTTATTTTAAATTAGAAAGAGATTAAATTTGGCAAAACATCTGGTTGGTATAGAAGTGCTTTTCTTAACCATTACAAGAGAAGATTCTAATTTGACAGCTGAGAGTTGTTTTTGCACCTCACCATGTAGTTCCAGCTAACTGATGTTGAGTCATTTCATTGGTGAAGTAGAAATTGAAACTAAATTCCTATACATTTTGCTTAAGTCACTGTCCTATAAAGATATCAGTTGGTGACTTGCTGACCAGGCAAAGCCTAAAAAAGAGAAAAATTAAAAATGATAACCTCCACGTCCAAGTACTCGATTTAAAATATTTATACCTCTAACCAATAAATTCCTCTGAAAATCTGTGTTACAAGAGAATCATTTTTCAGATGGAACATTAAAGAAAGGGCTGCTACAACTTTCTATAAAGACAACAAGGTTCTTTCAACCCTGGTACTGACCAATCATTTCGTGGTCTTTCTTAATAATTTATTGGTAACCAAAATCTCTGCACTCATTAGGTACTCTATCAATATTTGAAGAATTAAATCTGGCTTTATTCTACTCAATTCACTTGTGTAAAACTATACATGCAGAAAGAAAATTTTTTTAAATATTTGAAGGTAAGAACTATAAATGTAAACAAAATTTAAGACAGCATAATCTATATATACTATCTGAAGTAGAAAATATGATAATATATGACATCATTACATAAATTTTCTCTTTTGACAATTAACAAAGCTATTTGAAAAGAATAATCTGACTAGGTATTAACAAAATAATTCCAATTATAGTCTAAATTGGGTTTAATTAGGTTTTTCAAAAATGACTCCCATGTCCATCAGCCAGAAAGATGCCCCTAAAAGTGTTATAAAGGTTACAGTAGGATAGAGAGACTGATCTAAAATAATTTTTCCTATTATGCTTGGTACTAATAGGTAACAGATAAATAGGTAGGTATAAGTTCCCCCCAAAATAAAGATTAACAGTGCTTACAGTCCATACCAAAAACTAAAATCAGCGGGTTTCCAATTTGAAAAGCCTAGATGACCAAATAATTCAGTCCACAAAATTTAAAAGTCCAATTAGGGGCTGGCCCCGTGGCTTAGCGGTTAAGTGCGCATACTCCGCTGCTGGCGGCCCGGGTTCAGATCCCGGGCGTGCACTGACCCACCGCTTGTCCAGCCATGCTGAGGCCGAGTCCCACATACAGCAACTAGAAGGATGTGCACCTGTGACATACAACTATCTACTGGGGCTTTGGGGAGAAAAAGGGGGGAAAAAAAAAGGAGGAAGATTGGCAATAGATGTTAGCTCAGGGCCGGTCTCCCTCAGCAAAAAGAGGAGGATTGGCACAATGTTAGCTCAGGGCTGATCTTCCTCACAAAAAATAAATAAATAAATAAATAAATAAAAGTCCAATTAAAGTAGCTTAACATGCTGAGTTACTCCATATTTATGCCTAAATTATTCTATGATTCAAGGAGACAGGCAAGGCACTCCTGTTCTTGCCCCAGTGTACAGGGGAAGTGAGATCTCTACCCAATCCAACTCATGCCTATAGCCAGAGTCAGTCACCTTCCAGAGTAAGGCCACAGGAGACATTCAAGGTAGTGATGGAAATGGAGATGGGCCAAGAGCTGAATCTAAACTCTTACAGCTTCATAAGCACATATAGATGGGCATTTACACATACACACACACACACACTCTCCTCCCAAGGTTCCCGAACCACATGACAGTGGTCACATTTCAATAATTTTCAAATTCTATCTTCATACCTATTTCCAATATTAAAGAAAATAAAGGTATATAACATCAGAAAGATTGTCAACAAAACCATACTGATTAATTTTGACAAAAAAAGAAAAACTACATTCAAAGTACTATGGTCTAGGGCCGGCCCCATGGCTTAGCAGTTAAGTGCGCGCGCTCCGCTGCTGGCAGCCCGGGTTCGGATCCCGGGCGCGCACCGATGCACCACATCTCCAGCCATACTGACGCCGAGTCCCATATACAGCAACTAGAAGGATGTGCAACTACAACATACAACTATCTACTGGGGCTTTGGGGGGAAAAATAAATAATTAAATAAATAAATAAAATTAATTAAAAAAAAAAAGTACTATGGTCTAAGGCCTAGATGAAAGCTAGAAATTTAGTGATTTTAGGGGTATTCTTATCAAAAGAAGGAGGGCAACAGATAGCAACTAGACTTTTGGTGGTGAACACAATCCAGAGGTCGAAATACAATGATGTACACCTGAAATTTACATAATGTTATAAACCAATGTGACCTCAATAAAAAATATATATATATTAATTCTTCCAAAAAAAAAAAGGGCAAAAGCTTAAAATACATATGATTCTTTGAAACACAAACCCATTTGTAACTTCTTTTCACAATATTTTCATTTCAGAAATCATTTATTGAGCAACTCTATGTTCCAAAAGAATGTGTTACACAAGATACTGAGATTTCATAGATATACTGAACACTGTGCTCAGGATTCTCAAAATTTAATACTAATGATATGTGTAAGCAAATAATTACAGTAAAGTGTGATGGTATGACAGAAATAAATGCTATGTTCTTTTTTATAGCCATCTGAACAGAAAATTCATAAATTCTCATCTTTTATGACCCACAAATTTCATTCAAGCAGTTTAATTAGCTTCTGAAACACAATTTGCTCTAAAAAAGGTGAAATTCTTACCTGTGTTACATAAGGTTGCAGGTAGTGGGAAAAGTAGTCTTTGTACAAACTGATGCAGAGGCTGTTTCTTAATGGTGTATGTATTCATTATACGACAGAATCTACATTTGAAAACAAATAAAAATGACACTTTAAGAGATAATATTTTAAGCTCAGTTTCTACTTTTCATACATTAAAAAAACCATAATGACAATAATAACAAAGCCAAATTTTCATTTTCCATCCACATTATTTCCACTTCCTTAGGCAAGCAATATCTACAAACAATTTAAAAACAACAGCTCAAGGGGGAATTTATAGCCTTGATAACTACACAGGATAGTGCAATATCCAGTATAAAAAACAGAAATGCATCTACATTAGTGATTTATAACCTGGAGTCCCAGATTCTTAGCTATGCACTAAGGAGGCAAAGAACCAGAAACTGTTTTTCCCTTCTTTTTAAATTTTTAAAAATTAGGTTAATAGGGTCACATGGTTCAAAATTCAAAGGGAAGAAAATCAAATACAGTGAAAAGTCTCCCTCTTTTTCCGTCTCTACCACCATGTTTCCTGGGAAAGAAATAACCTATACTATTTGTTTTGAAAGGCATTTCAATACTTCAGAAAGTCTAATAGAAAGTACACTATTCTCCTCCAAACTGCTAAAGAAGCCAACAATTCAGATTGGAAACATATTAAGCCAGTGTTGTAACTTTGGTTATTTCACTCTGATAGAGAAGTGCTGACTGGCTATTTTTTCATGGCTTTGACAAATTAAAAACCAAAGCAAAAGAGAAAAACAAATATAAATGGAAAAAGAAATAAAAGGAAACTTTAGTAGTGAAAAATTTTAGAAATCTGATACATTACTTTAAAATCCAGTTTACTTTAAAATTCTATTGCTAGCCATTACAATTTTCATTTCACAGGAGTCATTAAGGAACTTTAAGCATATATATGACCACTTTTTTAAAAAACATTCCTCTGATTATTTACACCTGCAAACTCACTAAGGGGAGAGAATGTCTTCACTTCATGTGTCCCTAGCAGCTAGCATGACGGCCTCAGTTCCTCATCTCTAAAATGAAGTTAATACTCACAGCTACCTCATGAAGACTGTTGCAAAGATGGATCCAGATAATCCATGTAAAGTGCTTAAAAGAGTGCTAGGCTTAACTGTTCAATAAACGTTAGCTACCACTATTATTATCATTACGGGATAGGCGCCCAATAATTACTTACCAGATGAAGTTCGAGGTTTGGGGAGAAAACATTTTTATCTATAGCTCACTGCCTAAATCTTGAATACCCTGGAATGTGGAAATACACTGCAAGACCAGTATTCTTGTCCCTTCAGCCCAGGGAAAAGGCAGCAGAATGGATAAATATTCTGCCAGAGATGGTTTTAAAGTAATAAAAAAAGGTGAGTTACATTATTCCAGGAAGACATCCACTCAAATATAAGAGGAGGAGACCGGAGGAGACTAACAAAAAAATCCTTCTGCAAACTTAACTTTTTTAGGAAATGCATTTAAACTTCAAGAGCAGGGCCGGCCCCGTGGCTTAGCAGTTAAGTGCAGATGCTCCACTACTAGCAGCTCGGTTCAGATCCCGGGCGCGCACTGAGGCACCACTTCTCCGGCCACGCTGAGTCGGAGTCCCACATACAGCAACTAGAAGGCTGTGCAACTATGACATACAACTATCTACTGGGGCTTTGGGGAGAAAAAGGGAAAAAAAGCAGGAGGATTGGCAATAGATGTTAGCTCAGGGCCAGTCTTCCTCAGCAAAAAGAGGAGGACTGGCATAGGTGTTAGCTCAGGGCTGATCTTCCTCACAAAAAATAAATATATAAACTTCAAGAGCATCATTAGCACTAAAACTCCTAACACTCACAAAGTCAAACCCCGTTTAGGCCCTTTTCTCCTTTTGTTCCAGAAGCACAACCAAGGCACAAAGCCTACTTAAGTCCTAAGTGCTTTTCACCTACCCAAGGTTGACAGATGTCATTGGGAGGCCAAACTCAAAGGCAGGTCGCATGGAAGGAGGAAAACCAAGGGAACAGAGCCGGGTTAGGTGGTGGGGAGGAAATCTAGGTCTGGATTCTCATCAGAGTTGCATCACTTAGAAGCTGTGTGACCTCAAACAGGGCACGTCCCCTTTCTGGCGCACATGGAGAAAATGACACAAGATATTCTCGCCCATTTTTGTAAGACATCTTGATTTTGTGTTTCAACAGCAGAGGAGAGGGACTGGCCAGTGGCACAGCGGTTAAGAGAGTGCCCTCCGTTTAGACACCAGGGGGCGGGGGACGGGTCGCTTGAGGTTGGATCCCGGGCGCCCACTAGCGCATAGCTTATCAAGCCATGCTGTGGCGGCATCCCATATAAAGTAGAGGACGAAACAGAGGAAGATGGGTAGGGCTGTTAGCCCAGGGCCAACCTTCCTCAGGAAAAAGAGGAGGATTAGCATCAGATATTAGCTCAGGGCTGATCTTCCTCACACACAAAAAAAGGCAGAGGAGGGAATGTAGGTGGTGACAGGGCTGCAGGGGTCACACAATTTAAAGAGCTCCTCCGTTTGGTCTCTACAGCCGGTTTCTGCGAGCCCCACCACAGGGGTTCAGGCACCAGGTCTCAGAACCTGGGACGAGGCACAGCAAACTCCGCCCGAACCGGGGCCTCACGGACAGCCGCCCACCTCAGGGATAAACCCCTAACTGCTGCGACGGGGGCGGACCCAAAGGCTCGGTCAGAGGCACTTCTCCCCACCCTGTTACAGAAAGGGTGGGCGGGGCGGTGACCGTTCCGCTGGCTAAGCCCAGCGGCACCGCTATACGGTGCTTCGGGCTCGTCACCTACCGCTTGCGCAGCACTGCGGCAGCAGCCGCAGTTCCCCACCCCAGCCTGGCCGCCGCCGCCATCTTAGTCCAAGTGCGCAGGCGTGAGACAGGCCTTCCCCCTTTCTCCGAGCCGCGGAAGCCCCGCGCAGGCGCAGGCCTGCCGGGAGCTGCGCAGGCCCCGTGAAGAGCGCACCCTACCGACCGCGGGCGGCGCTGCTGCGGATGCGCCTTGCTGTTTGCAACCAGCGTTGTGTAAGCTTGGACGCGGGTGCAGCGGCGTAGAAATCCCTGCGATGTTTGCGGGGGGGGGGGGTCTTCCGTAACGCACGCAGGTCTCTGTACGCATGCGCAGAGCTGTACATTGCTTTTCCTACTTGCTGGATGCTGCGCTTGCACTGACTGATCGTGTGGTTAGAATGCTGTTCTCCACCCGTAAACCTGCCCTGTTGCCGCTTGTAGGATCCTGCTCATTCTCCAGGCCCAGCTCAGTGACTGCCTCAAAAGAGCCCCTGGAGCATCCTCTCTGAAGGTTCTCGCCTTCCTCCAGCGAGCTGCCTTTCTCCCACGGGCTGATATGGACCAATGTGTCTATGTTGGGCTGCACTTGTGGACTCGGTCATCTTGGACCAAGCCGCATCGAGGACTCACCTAGTGCAGGGCTGCCCTTTGCTGTATAAACATGACTATTGACTAGTTTCCAGAGCAAAGTACAAAAGCTCATTAACTACTCTTCCAGAACTTCCCTGGGGTATTCAGCTTTCTCTGGGCCAGCGGTTCTCAAAGTGTGAACTGGAGGCAACAACAACGTGGGAACACGTTGGAAATGCAAATTATCAGGCCCCACCTTAGACCTACTGAATCACAATCTCTGGAGGTGGGGCTTGTTTTAACAAGCCTTCCAGGTGATTCTGATGCAGACTAAAGTTTGAGAACCATTGCTCTAGAAGATATACACAGAGTACTGGTTTCTAGAATGCAAGCAACATACCCGTTACTGGACAGGTTGAGGCCACACCCAAGAGAACCTTGGTGGTTTCTGTGGCCTGGAGAGGCATCTAAGAGGCTGGATGGGGCTTCAGGCCCAGACACTGTAAGCAGGCCTAGCCTCCCCTGAGTGCAGTTTACACTCTCAAGGCCACATGTTGGCTTCCAACCACAGTCTCTCTTCACCCACCCATTCTAGACCTCAGTACAGTCCAAGGCTTCCCCCTTACTCTCTTCTAGACCTCGAATCAAGTGTAAAATGTAGCTTTTCCACCCAGGAACAGGCCCTGGTTAGGGAACAATCTTTCCTCTCTCTCTCCAGCTTCTCCCTCTCTTATCCATTCCTCCCATAAGAAAAATCCTGCCTTACCCCAAGTCTCCTTCCAGCCACCACTCTCTTTACTTCCCTTCACAGTCAAATGGCATAAATGAGTTGTCTACACTTTTAATCTCTAGTTTTTCACCTCCCATTCCTCAAACCACTGAAACCCAGCTTCTGTGTCCCACCGTTTCCCGGGAGGGGGGCTGCTCTAGTCAAGACCACCCACAACGTCTATGTTGCTGTGTCTGAAAGACTCTTCTTGGTTTTGAGTTTTCTTGACCTCTGGAACATTGCATGCTGAGGATCTCTCCCTCCTCTTAACAATCTCATTCCCTGGCACCACAATTGCCAGTTTTTCCTACTACTTTTCTGGTTACTCCTTCTCTGTCTCCTTTTGTGGGATTTCATCTGCCCACCTGTTAAATGTTGGTGCATTTGGGGATCTTGTTCCAGGCACTTTTCCCTTCCCACTCCTTTGTGATTAATTGACAAACTTCACTTCAGGGAGTTTATACCAATTAGTATTTCAATCAGCCACCAGAATATGTGTTTCTATCCCTTGCAAAAACTGGATTAAAAAAAAAAAAAACTTTGCCAATTATTGGTCATTTACATTAAGTGAAAAACAAAACAGGTTAGAAACACCATGTATAGTATGATCCCATTTATCTAAAATTGTTTGTGTCTATGAGTGTATGTGCTTGCACATGTGTGCATAGAGGTGTCTGAAATGCAGACTGCCAGCCTCTTCTCTTTTCCCTCCCTGGGCTGTTTTCAGTTCCTTAAATATGCCAAATTATTTCCCACCTCAGGGCCTTTGCATAAATTGTTACCTTTGCAGAGAATGTCTTTACCCCCCTTTTTTCTTGACTCCCTTGTACTGATTATGCCAGGTCTGGGCCTAACTATCCCTACCTTGGGGAGCCTTCCCTGACACCTTCCTTTATTCCCATCAAAATAGTCTCCTCTGTTGATTCTCTGTCAACACACCCTCTTCCTTTCCTTCATAGCACATTATCACAACTGAAAATTATGGATTTGGTTATCAATTTTTCTAATGATCCTTCCCCCTGCTATACTGTATACCTTTACGAGGGACATGTCTGTCTCTTTACTCTTGTATCCCCAGCACCTAGTAAAACGCCTGGCACATACTAGGTGCTCAAAAAGTATTGAGTGAATGAATGTAGTCACCTCAACCCTTTGTCAAATCCAATGCACTCGTTCAACCTGTGTGATAACCGTGTGGACAGAAAAAAGAGAGGGGCAGTAAGGCAAGTGTCGCCTGGCCCCATTTGCCCCTTACCTGGTACTGTGCCAAGGTAGGGTGCAGCAGCTCATGAAAAGGACTGTGTCCATTGGCACGTGAAACTGGGGACAGCAGCCAGATGGACAACCCAGGAGCAGACGTGGAACAGCCTTCTTTTTTTCCCCAAATATACTAGAGGGAGGGTGACTCTTTAGGAAAAAGAAAAACTACGACTTGAGATATCTGCACCTCTCTATTTATACCCGCTTCTTCCTCTCTCCGTCTCTATACCACAGACATACACACACACATAAATACATTCACAATGAAAATTGATAGACAACTGATATTTTCCCGAATACTATTTTAGCAAAGATGTCAACTCTGTTTTAATTGTTGGCTAAGAAGAGTCCCAGACCATGTGACACGGACCAAAAAGTCATTTACTCATTCACCCATTCATTCATTCAATAACTATTTATTGAGTGCTTTCTCGATACTATGGTGCTGGCCCCTACACTTTGTATTCGAGATTGAGGCAGACAATGCTAGATACTTTCCAATATTCACTTTCCCCTTCTTCTTTACTAGCAAACACTGATTTTGCTCAGGTAGCAATGTGTCCAATTTAAACAACCCATTTTTTAGCCTCCCTTACAACTAGGGGTGGTCACGTGGCACAGTTCCATCCAAGGAGACGAATGTGGAAGACTCCAGGAATGTCTGAAAAGGCTTTGCTTTCCTGCTGTAGGTGCTGACCCTTCCTCATTCTTGCATGGAGTTGGGAATGCTGGAGTCATGGCAGCCATGCTTCAACCATGACATCCCTAAGCATGAGCCAACAACGACCAGCAACCACCCTCTCCCAGATTTCTTGTTGCATGAAAAAAAAACGTCAACCTTAAATTTGCTGATGCCACTGTTTAATTAGGTTTCCTGTTACTCACAGATGATCAAAATCCTTGATACAGGGATATAAAGATGAACAGAACAATTCCTGGTCTCAGGGAGCTCCCAGAGAAGAGATGTTGTAAATCAAAGGCAGCCCAGGGGAACAAAATGCTACATAAGGGCTATGTTGAGGGCACACTGGTGGCAGATGGGAGAAGTGAACAATGGTTCGAGGGTGAGAGGAGAGCCCAAGGAAGCTTCATATAGAGAAAATTCTTCGCCGAGTGTTTAAAGAAAAATAATTGTTAAGATGTTCCTGCCATGGATGTCAGTACCAGCGCAGAACTAGACCACCGGCATTAGCTCCTAGTTCTGCCACTTACTCTGTGGCCTCACTGGACTGTGAGCTCCTCCACATGGGCATGCATGTTTATCTTCTTCTTGATTTTATTCCCAGTGCTTGGCATTTAAGAGATGCTCAAAATATACTTGCTGAATTGAAACCTCTCTGAAATTCCATAGAACCAATCACCTTCTAACATATATAATTTATTGCTTTATTATGCTAATTATTTATTGTCAGTTTCCCCCCTCGAGAATATACACCCTACGAGGGTAGGGATCTTTGCCTACATTGGTAACTGATGTATCTCGCGTGCCTAGAACAGTGCCTGGCACGTAGTAAGTACTCAATAAATACTTGTTGAATGAAAGAGCCCTAACTTTCCCAGTCCGTAAAATGTAGATAACAATACCTACCAAAAATGGTTGAGTGGTTTAGAGAAAATGCACTTCAAGTCTTGCACTAAGCTTGTCATGTGGGTAAGCTGTATGATGCTGTTGTCTTCTACTCCTATAAAACTTTGAGACCCATTCCTGACACATCTACAAGGGGTGACATCTGAGGTCAGCCACCTAGTCTGTGTCTTCCTAGAACTGAGACAGGTTTGAGCATTTCTGGGGAGCCAGTGTGGCAGGTCCAGCAGGTAAATATTTACCTGAGGCACTGAGAAACCTCCTGGGAAAGAATTTGTCCTGAGGAAGAATTCCTCTCCTGGGGAAAAAAAGTCAGTATTCAAAAGTTTGATCCAAGGTCAGTGAGCCCTGCTGCTCTGACCGTCCTTGGACCAACACCTGTGGACTCTGCCTGAGGCCCAGGGAGAGGGCTTGAAACTGAGGTGACACACAAAATAAGAGAGCTGTTCTGTGAAAGCATCTGAGACTGCGTGAGCCCTGAGCCCCACGTCGTGCTGCTTTATAACCAGGGAAAAGAGAGTGTGACCAGTGGAGCACAATTAAGCACTCACTGGATGCTGGCCCGAAGCAGGCTGCAGCAGCCCCCATCTGGACAGGACAAGTGGGAGGACATTACTCTGCGGGTGCCTTGCCCTTCTGGGGCTGATTTGGCAGCAAGCAGTGAAGCAACTGAAGAAGTAAATACATAAATGGTAACAGAACAGAATCTGTTCCAAGCACATGTGATCCCAGGAATAGGGGGGGAGAGATGCAGGCTGTTGGAATCCACAGAGAAAGTGGGAGCAGACAGAGAAACATTGTATTGTGACCCTACTTTTACCCAGAGATTGATGAAGGTCTCAAGAAACAGGTTACACAGGTGACAATGGAGATGATACC